ATTATACAGACATACATACACTTGCATACATAAATACACGTAATTACACGCATACATACATACATGAATACATACATACATACAATCACACATACATTCATATATACATACACACATCCATCCATCCATCCATACATGCAAATAACCTCAGCCACACACGTACCCTTTCCTTCCCCCAAACGCAAGGCAACCGAACCAAGTAAGTCCTGAGTCGTGCCTGGGATCCTTCGGAGGTCCCGTGCCCCCTTACACGTCCCTGGGAGGCTTCCTGGAGGAGGGCGAAGTCAGCCTGGAGGAGGCGAGCTACACCGAAGCGACGGCTCTCATCTTGACTTTCTTCCTCGAGGCCGCGGGCAACGAGTCGGCTCTCGGTCCCGTCTTGGAGTGGGAGAAGGCGTGAGTGTTCGTAGAAGGGGGGGAGGGTGGGGAGGGGAGAAGGGGTAGGAGGAGGGGGAGGAGGAGATGGGGGAAGGGGAGAGAGGAGAGGGGAAGTGGGAAGGAGGAGAGGGGGAGCGGGGGAGGGGGAGTGGGGGAGAAGGGGTAGGGGTAGGGGGAAGGGGAGAGAGGAGAGGATGAAGTTGGAAGGGGGAGAGGGGGAGCGGGGGAGTAGGGGAGAAGAGGTAGGGGGGAGGAGAGAGAGGAGAAGGGGAAGGGGAGAGGGGGAGAAGGGGGGAAGGGGGAGGGGGGGAGGGGGAATGGGTTGGGGAAGGGGTGGGGGAAGGGGTAGGGGGAAGGAGAGAGAGGAGAGGGGGAAAGAGGGGAGTGGGAGAAGGCGTGAGTGTTCGTAGAGGGAGGAAGGGGGAGAGTGGGAAGGGGGGAAAAGGAAGGGTAGGGGGAAAGGGAGAGAGTAGAAGGGGAAGTGGGAGAGAGAAAGAGAGAGAGAGTGAGAGAGAGAGAGAGAGAAGAGAGAGAGAGAGAGAGAGATGAGAGAGAGAGAGAGAGAGATGAGAGAGAGAGGAGAGAAAGGAGAGAGAGAGAGAGACAGACAGACAGACAGAGAGAGAAAGAGAGAGAGAGAGAGAGTATATGAAGAAAACAAAAATAAAACACCTATTATATTTCTCCCCTCTTCCCTCTATTCCACCTTTCCTCCCCCATACACCTGCTCCTCTTTCTCCCCAGCTAACAGGAACTTTCGAAGGACAAAGCGTAGGACTCAAGGACGTGTGTGTGAAGCCCCTAGCGCCCCAGGCCGACGACTGCTTCATCCACAGCGCCCTCAACTACTGGCAGAATGACCCAGAACGCCTGCAGGAGAACATCGCCCAAGGCATCGAGCAGTTTGCTCAACACCTCGTCCTCTGTGTAAAGTAATTGTCCTTCGTGTGTGTTGCAGACGATCGTAATCACGTGTGTATATGATATATAAGTAACTTATTCAAATGCACACCTACACAAACACACCCACACATGAACACACACACACATATATAAATACTGTATATATATGTATGCATACACACATATCATCCACCGCTCCATCTATCTATTCATACCCCCATTCAAATATTACATACGTTGTACACACATACATGCATACTATACAGACATACATACACGTGCATACATAAATACATATATGTACACACATACATACATATTATACATACATACATACACTTGCATACATAAATACACGTAATTACACACATACATACATACATGAATACATACATACATACACTCACACATACATTCATATATACATACACACATCCATCCATCCATCCATACATGCAAATAACCTCAGCCACACACGTACCCTTTCCTTCCCCCAAACGCAAGGCAACCGAACCAAGTAAGTCCTGAGTCGTGCCTGGGATCCTTCGGAGGTCCCGTGCCCCCTTACACGTCCCTGGGAGGCTTCCTGGAGGAGGGCGAAGTCAGCCTGGAGGAGGCGAGCTACACCGAAGCGACGGCTCTCATCTTGACTTTCTTCCTCGAGGCCGCGGGCAACGAGTCGGCTCTCGGTCCCGTCTTGGAGTGGGAGAAGGCGTGAGTGTTCGTAGAAGGGGGGGAGGGTGGGAGGGGAGAAGGGGTAGGAGGAGGGGGAGGAGGAGATGGGGGAAGGGGAGAGAGGAGAGGGGGAAGTGGGAAGGAGGAGAGGGGGAGCGGGGGAGGGGGAGTGGGGGAGAAGGGGTAGGGGTAGGGGGAAGGGGATGAGAGGAGAGGATGAAGTTGGAGGGGGAGAGGGGGAGCGGGGGAGTAGGGGAGAAGAGGTAGGGGGGAGGAGAGAGAGGAGAAGGGGAAGGGGAGAGGGGGAGAAGGGGGGAAGGGGGAGGGGGGAGGGGAATGGGTTGGGGGAAGGGGTGGGTGAAGGGGTAGGGGGAAGGAGAGAGAGGAGAGGGGGAAAGAGGGGAGTTGGAGAAGGCGTGAGTGTTCGTGAGAGAGGGGAGGAAGGGGGAGAGTGGGAAGGGGGGAAAAAGGAAGGGGTAGGGGGAAAGGGGAGAGAGTAGAGGGGAAGTGGGTAGAGAGAAAGAGAGAGAGAGTGAGAGAGAAA